AAGCAATATGGCGCCTGCTGTTTCAGCTCAGGTCTGTGGGGGTGGGCAGTGCCCCAGGGGCCTGGGAGCCTGGTGCCCTGTCCACAAGAAGTTCCCAGCCCACTGGTGGCAGCATCCCCTGGGATTGTGTGCACAGAAGGTCTCTCCAGCAGCTCGGGAACCCACTGACTGTCGGAGATGTGAGGGAGGGAGAAACAAACTATTCCAGCTACCTTCTTGCTGGACTCCAAGCCTCTGGGGGTTGATATTTGCTGATATCTTGCTCCTTATTCTGCACCACAACTTCTTCCTGTGGAGTCTCCCAAAGGCTCTGGCTGGCACCCTTCCTTCACATCCATGTCTGATCTATGTTTGTCTGTCTGTTCTTTCTGTTTCATCTAAAATTTCTCCTTATTACTGAGATGCTTTCAATATTATCTTTTTCAGCTAACACTCTTTTTAATGTTGATGTTGGGTTATCTGTATTCTGCCTTTGCTGTGCCCCTCTTTTTTTTTTTTTTTTTTTTGAGACAAAGTTTCACTCTGTTGCCCTGGCTAGAGTGAGTGCCGTGGTGTTAGCCTAGCTCACAGCAACCTCAAACTCCTGGGCTCAAGTGATCCTCCTGCCTCAGCCTCCCGAGTAGCTGGGACTACAGGCATGTGCCACCATGCCCAGCTAATTTTTTCTATATATTTTTAGTTGTCCGATTAATTTCTTTCTATTTTTAGTAGAGACGAGGTCTCGCTCTTGCTCAGGTTGGTCTCGAACTCCTGAGCTCAAACAATCCGCCCGCCTCGACCTCCCAGAGTGCTAGGATTACAGGCGTGAGCCACCGTGCTCGGCCTGCTATGCCCCTCTTGTTTCCCTAACTGAATGAAAACTGACCACATACAAAATTTCTCAGGAACTTTGCATGTTGTATAGCTATTCATGTACACATTTTTGCTTCCATGTTTCCCATCCCTTCATCGAAGAAACCTTTACAACTCTAAAAACTCAAACGTATGTATATTTCTATCTTTATACATGCACTTTTAATCATAGTTAAGATATCATTTTCCAGTGCATCTGGTGCTCTGGAGTTATTCTTTAATATCACCATTCTTCTTGGCACTGATCTAATAAGAGTTCTGAAACCTGCTAAGTAAAATCATATGTGGAAATCTTCAATACACATCTTTGTGGCTTTGGGGAAGGAGGAGAATTAGTGTGAAACCTGGAAATGTGTATTAAAGAGAAACCCTACATTTAAAAAAATTAAGTAGCTGCCTTCAACTGATAAATTAATCTTGAAATTCTAACCATAATTTTCAAAATAAAGGCCTTGCAAGTTTTGCCACTTTGAAGAAAAGCAGACATAGCTCTCCTGAGCTCTGCACTGGAGCAGCCCTGAGAGACACCATTCCAAGGATGGCCACTGTGGATTTTCCTTCATCTAAGTAGCCTTTCCTTTCTGGCCACTTTTAAGGATTTTCTTTTTATCAAATTTGAAAGCCTATTTAACAGGCTCTTTAGTTGAAAATGAAACAATAAAAACCCACCAAGAGGATCTTTGTCTTTAAACAAAGTGAGTCCCAGATGGTTGCCGAGATTCTGTGGTTTCTGTGAGAGACAGAAAAATTCTCTTCTAAATCTCCTGGGGTCCACAGGTTCTGAAGCAATATATTTCCAGTCCTGGGCACATCAAGAATAAGAACAGAGTTAAATACTGCTTCAAAGATTTCAAATGTTTATTTAAAATTAGGTGATGCTATGGCATCATACGACTTATCATGAGTGTCTAGTAACCCCTAGCATATGCTAAAGAAAACTTTGCTTGCTAATTTAGGACCATAGTTCAGTTGACTTTTATGGTTTGTTATTGTGAAAGCATAGTTTTAAAAGATTATAATGGCTGGAGTATCTAGAGGAAATATAATAGTTAAGCATAGCTTGGTTTTACAGACGTGCTCCTTCTAAAGAAAATCCAGATGAATAGATGGAAAACAAAAATTTAAGAAAATGCTAAACCTCACTATTCAAATAATGCAAATTAAAATAACAATGACATTTAATTTTTGGTCTGTCAATCTAACAGATTTATTTTGGTTAAGTAATAGTTCATTCATAGTTAAATTATTTGCATAAATATAGTCATTAAAAGTGGTAGTTACGGCCAGGCGTGGTGGCTCACACCTGTAATCTTAGCACTCTGGGAGGCCGAGGCAGCTGGATCGCTCAAGGTCAGGAGTTCGAGACCAGCGTGAGCAAGAGCGAGACCCTGTCTCTACTAAAAAATAGAAAGAAATGATCTGGATAACTAAAAAATATATATATATATTTATATATAAATTAGCTGGGCATGGTGGCGCATGCCTATAGTCCCAGCTACTCGGAAGGCTGAGGCAGAAGGATCCCTTGAGCCCAGGAGTTTGAGGTTGCTGTGAGCTAGGCTGATGCCACGGCACTCTAGCCTGGGCAACAGAGCAAGACTCTGTCTCAAAAAAAAAAAAAAAAAAAAGTGGTAGTTACAGAATACTCTTAATGACATAGAAAAATGTATTAATTAGGCTTTCAGCTTGAAGTTATAAAGTATGCTTTTTAATATTCATAGCAAGTTAATGAGGCAGATAATATTATTGTCCTATTTTACGTTTATTGTCTCATATAACAAGAAGGAAGAGGGCTGGTTCAGTGTTGGTTAACTAAACAACCCAGTGCTATATCTGCTTCTCTGCCAACCTCTTGGATTTGCCTTCCTGGTCCCAAGATGGCAATAAAAGCTATATACATCACCTCATAACATCTTCTGTAGCAGAGAAAGAGGGCTTTCTCTTCTCAAATTGTCTCCCTTATTGTCAAGGATTAAAATTCTTTCCCAGAGACTTTCGCTAGTCTTCCCTTTTCATGTTATTAGCCAAAAACAGTCCCAGGTTTACCTAAACTAATCATTGGCAAAAGGAAAATGGAATTGCCAGGATTAGCTTATAAATTCCGGTCCAAAAAATAGCAAGTTCAAGACCCAAGTAGAGCCAATGTTTCAGTCTAAGTCCAAAGGCCAGAAAAGACCAATGTCACTGCTGAAGCGTTCAGGCAGAATGAGTTCCCTCTTACTCAGCCTTCATGTTCTATTAGGTCTTCATTTGACTGGATGATGCTTACTCACTTTGGGGAGGGCAATCTGCTTTGCTCAGTCTACCAATTCAAATGTTATTCGTAACAAGAAACATTCTCCCGGACACACTCAGAATGTTTGACTAAATGTCTGGGCATACCATGACCCAGTCAAGTTGACACATTGAAATTAACCATCACATGCTTAGACCTGGAAGAATACTGTATATAGTATTATATATAACAAGATATATATATCTTAGGCC